GGAATACATTTTGAAGTTTTTTTTTTTTTTAAAACTGATTAATCGACTGAATACCTAAATATATGTTCTGCCAGCAGTAAAAGTTTAATTAATGTAACTGTATTAAAAATACCTAAAAAAGATTTTTTTGTAATGTGTTGTAATCTTTTGCGTGGCATTATGTATATATATATATATATATATATATATATATATATATATATATATATTATGAAATGGACAAAAAGTCCGACAATTATTTTTTAAGACATATTTTATGTTTATACGTTCTTTTATAGACACAAATATTACAGTAAATGCTCTGTTTATAATAAACAGTATTAACGACATATAGCCTGACGTGCGGTTACCGATTTAGCCACAGAGGAGCGTTTCGGTTAGCAAGGTCGATTTTACTATTTTTAAGTCGTGGAGAATTGCTGTTTAAGAACGCTAAAATCGACCAAAACATGCTTGATATATATATATATATATATATATATATATATATATAATCTATATATCCCAAAAAGTTTGTTTGAAAACGAACTGACAAATTCTTTCTGTTTTATTTTGTAATATATTTCCAAATTTTCAAATAGTTTTCGAATAAGATGCTGAGTGTTGTGCTCTAAGTTGTGTAAAATCCGTCCGAAGTTTATATTTTATTATTTCGTTCAAGTACTCTCGACCATAGCAGCCATTATAAAAAAAAAAAAAAATTGCGTCTTTGTGATTGTTAGAATTCTTTTGTCTGCATTCTGACTTTCTTTGGGAAGCTGGAACTTTGAAATGGTCTCATGTGATGTCACGCGTAACGACAATTGGAAACGAGATCTCACGAAAGCATGCGATTCATTTATTATTTTTTATATTCACACATCAATTATATCATATGCATTTCAAGTTACCATCTCCTGTGGCGAATGCTATTTTCATTAATCCGGGCTGTTTAGTTTATATAATAATAGCTTCAAGATTTTTGAGTTTTTCCTTGCATTGGCTTCTGTAGAGTATTTTTGGTGTTATCAACAAATATTTGTCTTACGTTGATAGTTAAATTTTGGTCGTTCATGATGGCATGGATTAAACTGAGTTTTTATAGGTGAAAGGTTAACCTGCGAGAAAGCCTGGTAATTGTATGCCCAATGTAAATATGTAATGCTGTTTATATTTGTTGTTGATTTTGGAAATGAAATCTCCCAGCGGGTATGAGAATTCATAGACAACCTTATTTTTACATAGGCGAATTTTTTTTTAGGTCCAGAGTTGTTGGTAATAATAAAATTAGTTTTCTTAAACTTTTCATAGTAGATGATAGGGATTTGTTCGAATCGTTCAGAGATATCCCAGACAATACCAAGATGTAGATGAAGGAATTCTAACGACTATACAGACACCATATTGGTTCTGGATAATGACTGCGATACTTACTCGTCTTTCTGGTTGTATGTATTCAATGAAAGTATTTTCTACTCGCAAGTATTAGAGTCTACAGCTTATTTAAAGTTCTTTTTCGTGTAAATCAAGCTTTTCTAATAGTTCAAGTAGTTCTTCGTGTCGCGTCAAATGCTTTTGTGTAAACTATGAAACATAATATTAGATCCTCTGATATCATTCTGATAATAAAGATAGCATTTCTTGTTCCAGTGTATTCAACAGAGTCTAAGCTGTTATAAAATAGGTGAGAAATAAAACAATAGAAATCCGGAGTGAGAGAGCGTTTGCACAATCTTAATATCTGATTATTGATCTGCTTATCCTTCCTTTAGTTAGTTCGCACGACCGTTACGCCCAGCCAATACTTCATCGATAATGAACTATTTCTTTATGATCGCGTGGAAAAATGAAGAAGACATATCGGAGACGCTACTTGGTTTCAGTGAGAAAGAAAGAAAGAAGTGCTTAACGTCTCCTATCAATACCACAACCAACCATATTCCCTTCGTATTTCATCAATGACATGTAAGTTTCACTCGAACAGCTTCTTCTTGCGAACCACTGCCCTGTGGAACTGACTCCCAACAGGATGTTTCCCTGATCACTACAATCCTAACCTATTCAAGACTAGGGTTAACCGTTATCTTCTCCTCCTATACATATAAATGGACTCCTAACCTAAACCTCTACCTCGAGTGTCCCCCGGGCCTTAAACATGATGTTTTTTTTTTGTTGTTTTTTTTAAATAATAGCTTATTCCGTTTTGACCGTTTGGAAAAACGGAAAAGACATATAAGAGACGCTATTTGGTTTCAGTGAGAAAAAAGTAAGACAGAAAATAAAAGTGTCAACGTCTGTTTCAGTGAAATTTCAATTTCAGATCATTTCATTTGTACCCCCTTACTTCTTAAAATAACGGCCAGTGTTCATATTTATGATTATTATTGCAATATTTTTGTTAAAGTTGTTAAGCTCAAATATTTAACGATGCGTTAGTAGAATTTCTACGTATATTTTATTGTCGTAGAACTCTCTATGAGTCTATACAATCATTAACTGAAGAATTAAGATTCATCAGAAAATTCAAATAGGAAAACTGAAATTTTCACGGTTATTTCTAATTTGATATATTTTTCATATTATTAGACCCAATGAGAGTTGCGGTCGAGTTGGAGAATAACAAGAACAATTCAACTCTTTGAATGATAAATCAGCAATTTTTCGAAAACTGCCAAAAAAGACAAATGAAAAATGACTGAAAAGAAAATCAGCATCTCATTTCAAAGAGAAGGAACTTTTTTTTTGTCAAGCTTTGCAACGCTTGTGATCTCCCGCTCTAGTGGAATCGGTTTGTAGTGCGCCGTCTGCGAAAAAATTGGATTTAAATTTCACAAAATAAAACAGCAAGACAATTCTCTCTTTTCTTTATATTTTTTAATGACAACGTCAGTCGACAAACTACGAAATAAAAAAAATTGGTTTCGAAGAAATAACATTAAAAGACGAGACTCATTAAAACTTACGAGTATCTACGGCCAGGTTTGTCAACTACGTTGTCTGCCCCAAGGCAAGCTTTTCCAAAGCATGAAGGTCATCCAATGGAAAGTAAATTCAAATTATGTTCAGGTGTCGTTAACGAGTATCGATTTAATCAAATCACGTGACGTTCCGGCTCTCGGCAATTCTACGCGTTTTCTACAAGCCAAGACGTTTGCTTATCGTCCGCTTTGGAAAAAAAAAGATGTCATCGAAAATTTGACGCAGACGAGACAGTATAGACTGAAAGAGGCGTATGCAAATTTATGTAAATGGGTTGAATATTTCAAGGTAGGACAATTATGGAGTATACCAAGCGACAGCACGTTTAGAAAGAAAGAAAGAAAGAAAGAAAGAAAGAAAGAAAGAATCGGAAAGGATGAAGGAAGTGAAAAAGAAATAACGGAAGAAAAGGAGAAAAGAAAGGAGAAAGAAAGAAAGAATGAAAGAAAGAAAGAAAGAACAAAGAAGGTACCTAAGTGAAGAGACGGAATGAATAAATTAATACAAAAAGAAAGAAAGAAAGAAAGAATTAAAGAAACCTGAGTAAAGAGACGGAATAAATGGATACAGAAAGAAAAAAGAAAGAAAAAACAAGAAAAATGGGTGAAGAGAATGAGGAGAAAAAGAAAGAAATAATGAAAGAAAGAAAGAAGAGACGCGAGTGAAGAGAAGGTTTGAATAAATAAAACAGTAAGAAAGAAAGATAGGAAGAACAAGAGAAATGAGTAAAGAGAAAGAAAGAAAGAAAGAAAGAAAGAAAGAAGAAGAGACCTGAGTGAAGTTAAGGAATGAATAAATTAAGAAAGAAAGAAAGAAAGAAAGAAAGAAAGAAAGAAAGAAAGAAGGAAAAAGAACAAGTGAAATGAGTGAAGAGAATGAAGAAAGAAAGAAAAAACTGACAGAAAAAGAGGATTGAGTAAACAGAATGAATAAATAGTTGAAGAAAGAAAGAAAGAAAGAAAGAAAGAAAGAAAGAAAGAAAGAAAGAAAGAAGGAAAGAATGGTAAAGGATGACAGGAATGAGAAAGAAAGAATGAAGTGAGAGAAAGAAAGACGCATATAATGAAGTCGGAATGAAGAAAGAAAGAAAGAAAGAAAGAAAGAAAGAAAGAAAGAAAATAGAAAGAAATCCACGTCAACTTGACAAAAATGATTTGAGAATTTCTCCAGACAGCAACCGTTGGAGAGCTGAGGTAAATTCAGATTTTGTCATTTGGCGCCTGTTGTCTTTTAACACAGCCGTCGATTGTCTTACGATGTAGACAATGAGTGCTTTAACAAGATTTACCTGTTTTGAAATATTTCTCTCCAACCTGAACCATGTCTTTCGTTCTATCTCTCTCTGTCTCTCTCTCTCTCTCTCTCTCACACGCTCACACACACGCACATGCTCTACTTCTCTCTCTCTCTCTTTCTCTCTCTCTCTCTCTCTCACACACATACATACACGCACGTATCTCAAACTGTTCATACATACTTTTCAGTCTTTTCACCTGTTAATTTCTTTCTTTTTCTTTCTTTCTTTTTTATTTCTTTCTTTCTATCCCACTCTGTCTATATCTATCTATCTATCTATCTATCTATCTATCTATCTATCTATCTATCTATCCGAGTCTGTTCATTATCTATCTATCTGTTCATTATCTATCCATCTATCTCAGTCTGTTCATTACCTAAGTCTGTTCTTTATCTATCTATCTATCTATCTATCTATCTATCTATCTATCTCAGTCTGCTCATTATGTATATATATCTCTCATCTATCTATCTATCTATCTATCTATCTATCTATCTATCTATCTATTCATAACTATATATATATATATTCGACTCGCCCGTCGAATTCGACGTATGAGGGTCAAGCAGATCAATTTCTAGGAAACCGACAGCCCGACAACAGCACATGAGATTTGATTATAGTGGTGAAGGTTTTGTGCAGGACCATCCACACTTGTTGAAGGGCCGAATACAGAGACTTGGTGCACTACGTGCCACAAGGTCTTTTCATATTTATCTATCCTTTCAGGCTCATATTTATCTATATGATTCTCTCTCTCTCTCTCTCTCTCTCTCTCTCTCTCTCTCTCTCTCTCTCTCTCTCTCTCTCTCTCTGCCTGTCTCTGTTTGTCTCTCTGTCTGTCTCTTGTATGTTACTTGCTTTCCAGTTAATATTTCATTAAAAGAAGGAAGAAATGAAAGAACATTCGGGCAATATGTCATCGACATGACTGCCAAGAGGACATATCGATATAGAAACAGAATCCTTAGAGACATTAATCTAGAAGAATTCTATGAAGCCACAGACAGGACAGATTGTCAAATAGCTACAAAATAATTTTTAAATATTCATTATTATCCAAAAGATTGGTTGCTTGTCTTTATATACATGCACGTCTTTTATATAAAGGATCGTGTTAAGAGCTACAAGAAACAGGAAGATGTGAAGAGCCATGATCGCCTACGTCCTGAAGTGACACGGCTGATAAAAGAAGAACTCTCATTAAACGCTAGACAAAATATAATTGATTACACAGAGTTCGTTCACTGTTTCGTTTATAGTAACTTCAGGACCAACTTATGGCCGTCCTGGGTAAGACGATAAACTACGTCCGCGTCCTGGGTAAGACGATAAGCTACATCCACGACTTGGAAAAGACGATAAACTACATCCGCGTCCTAGGCAAGAAGATAAACTACATCCGCGTCCTGGGTATGACGATAAACTGCATCCGCGTCCTGGGTAACACGATAAACTACATCCGCGTCCTAGGCAAGAAGATAAAGTACATCCGCGTACTGGGTATGACGATAAACTGCATCCGCGTCCTGGGTATGACGATAAACTGAATCCGCGTCCTGGGTAACACGATAAACTACGTCCGCGTCCTGGGTAACACAATAAACTACATCCAACAACAAGGCCTCTAATCAGGAGGTTTTGAGTAGCGTGGGACCACCTCTTAATTGCTGGCCGGGGTGGTAGCACCTGTTAGGGTCCCAGCTATGGGCAAATAGTTGACCCCCAAACTTGGGTCATAACACTATGAATGTTTAAAAATATGTTTTAATACATAAAAAAATTATTACCAGCAATACATTTTTGAAAAAAATTATTACCAGCAATAGATTTTTAGAAAGAAATATATAAGCGGCAATACATTTTTGAAGAAAAAATATTACCAGCAATAAATTTTTGGAAAAAAATATTGCAAGCAATAGATTTTTGAGAAAAAAATATTAGCAGCAATACATTTTTGAAAAAATTATTACCAGCAATAAAAATCTTGTCGGCATCAAATAATCCATTGAGGTTGATATGCCGTAAACAAATCAAACCAAACCAAAGCCAACTTATGGATCAGTCATATTTGCAGACCAAACCTACGTTGTTGAAAAATTAAATAAGAAAACAAAAATTCTGTTTATACAAATTTCTGAATATGTGAGCAGTGAGCTCATAGACTTATTAGGAATCACGTGGACGAAGATGCGTGGAGATGATACGGCTTGCAATTAGGTGTTTCCTCACATACACACGCAAATGTAATGATGACCTCATCGCAAATATAAGCCACACCGAATTGAAAATGACGTCTTTGAAGCATGGCTTCATAACGAGGTGAACATAACGCTTGACGAGGTAGATATCAAAATTAAAAATGGCTGCCGTCCAGTCCTATCTCGCGCGGGAATAGAGGAAAGAAATTAATAGCGTCTAACGTACGATAATTAAAATCTACTACCTGGAAATATTAATATTAATATTATTTTTTTTTTCCTGCATTTCACACTCGATTTCTGTTAGTTATCGCTTAAGATTTAATACACAGAAAATCTCTAATCTCTCGCAATTTTCAGTATCATTGCAAATGTCAGCAATGTTGTCGTCTGCAAAGTTACAATTTTAATCGAATTTTCCTCCATTTATTTTCAGTTTTCGCGTTTGTAGTTGAAGTCAGTTTCTTCTAGCTTGTAATAGTTCCCTAATCCGTTTCCTCCAACCTTCAACCAACAGAATAGCGTAAGTCAAACAATCCAGTAATACGTATCTCCTTTTCGCTACGGCAGACACACTTCTCTCTGTCGCATCACTACACACTTTTTATAGACTGATTGACACTTCAAATTTGCATAGGTTGAAAGAGATTCTCGCGAACGTCAATCCGACTTCGAGATCTTTTTTTTTTTAAATATGCTATTCGTAAAGCCGCCATGTTGCTTTTGCCTACCAACACGCTCTACGTCTTCGTAGCGTTCTTTTCTTGCTTTAGTTTACGAACTTGTCTAGGTATTTACCCAGACCTCCCCACAAAGGCTTAGAGGAAAAAGGGCTTAGAAAACATATGCGCAGGAAATATTAAAGGCAAGCGGGTTCAGACGGAAGCAGCGCATAACTAACCTGACGAACTTGTATAAATGCTGGCAGAACAGGGTTGAGTAGAAATATCAAAAAGACCAAACTTACAAAGACCTAAAAAGCCAGGAAATTGTGGAGAGCTATGATCGCCAACATCCTGAAGTGATAGAAGAAAATGAGCTTGAGTAAATAGATGGCAGAACAGGGTTTATTAGAAATAGAAAAAAGTTAAAAAGAGCTCAAAGTCCAGGAAGTTGTGGAGAGCCATTATCGCCAACATCCTGAAGGCATACATCACATAGAAGAAGAATGAGCTTGTGTAAATGGATGGCAAAACAGGATTTAGTAAAAATAGAAAACAAAGTTCACTCTGACCTATAAGGGACAGGAAGTTGTGGAGAACCATGATCGGCAACATACTGAAGGAGCATGTGCCATAGTAGCAGAAGGACGAGCATTTGTAAATGTGTGCAGAACAGGGTTTAGGAAAGATAATAAACAGACAAAATTTGCTAAGGGATATAAGAGACTGGAAGTTGTGGAGAGCCATGATAGCTTACACCCTGAAGGGATATGACACATATAAGAAAAAGAAAAAACGTGTGCAAATGTTGGAAGAAACGGGTTTAGGAGAGATAGCAAAAAGACCAAATTTACTAAGCGCTACAAAGGACAGGAAATTGTGGAGAGCCATGATCGACAACACCATTAAAGGACATGGTACATAGAAGAAAAGGGAGGCAAGCTTGTGTTAATGTTGACAGAACAGGGTTTAGGATAGACAGCAAAAAAACAAAGCTTGCAAATAGCTACAAAGTACAGGATGCTGTGGAGAGCCATGATCGCTAACTTCCTGTAAGGACATCGCACATGGAAGAAGAAGGATGAGCTTATGCAAATGTTGGCAAAACAGGGTTTATGAAATATAGGAAAAAAATTACTAAGAAATACAAAGGACAGGAAATTGTGGAGAGCCATGATCGCCAACAACTTGAAGGGTCATGTGTCATAGTAGACGGAGAACGAGTTTCTGTAAATGTGTGCAGAACAGGGTTTAGGAAAGATAGCAGACAGACAAAATTTACTATTAGGTATGCCATATTGGAAGTTGTGGAGATCCATGATAGCTAACGTCATGAAGGAACATGGCACATAGAAGAAAAACGAACTTGTGTAAATTTTGGTAGAACAGGGTTTTGTGAGATAGCAAAATGACAAAATTCACTATGAGCTATAAGGGTCAGGAAGTTGTGGAGAGCCATGATCGCCAACATCCTGAAGCGACATGACTCATAGAAGTTGATCGAGCTTGTAAAAATATTGCAGAAGAGTGTTTAGAAGAGATTGTAAAAAGACAAAGCTTAATAAGAGCTACAAATGACAGGAAATTGTGGAGAGCTGTGACCGCCAGAATCATGAAAAGACATGGCAGATAGCAGACAAAGAACATGCTTGCTTGTTGAATGCACAGGTTTTAGGGGAGATAGCAAAACGATAAAGTTTACTAACAGGTACAAATGACAGGAGAATGTGGAGGGCTATAGCCGCCAAAATTCTTAAGGGACATGGTACATAGAAGAAGAAAACGCTTGTGTAAGTGTTGGCAGAACAGGATTAGGACAGATAGTAAAAAGAGAAAGTTTGCTAATGGGACAAGAAATAGTGGAGAGCCATGATCGACCACACTATGAAAGGACATGAGACATTGAAGTAGAAGAACGTACTTGTTTAAATGTTGAAAGAAACATGTTTAGAAGAGACAGCGAGAAGACCAAATTTACTATGAGCTATAAGGGACTGGAGGCTGTGGAGAGCCATGATCGAGCCATGGGATATAGTAGATAAACGAGCTTGTGTGAATGTTGGCAGAACAGGGTTTAGGAGAAATGGCAAAAAGGCCAAATTTCCTAAGAGCTACAAATGATAGGAAATTGTGGAGAGCCATGATCGACAATATCCTAAAGGAGAATGTGCCATAGTAGAAGAAAAACGAGTATCTGTAAATGCTGGCAGAACAGTGTTTAGGAGAGATAACAAAAGGACCAAATTTTCTATGAACTATAAGGGACTGGAGGTTGTGGAGAGCCATGATCGAAAGCATCCTGAAGGGACATGGCACATAGAAGAAGGAGAACAAGCTTATGTAAATGTTGGCAAAACAAGAGTTAAGAGATATAATAAAAAGTTCAAATTTACTAAGAGCTACAAATGACAGAAAAGAAGCCCTTTACTTTTGACCTTGGATTATACTGCTTGTTCATAGAATTCTCTTGCCGGCAGTTCTGAATGCCGTCCTGGGTAAGACGATAAACTACATCCGCGTCCTGGGTAAGACAATAAACTACATCCGCGTCCTGGGTAAGACGATAAACTACATCCGACAGCAAGTCATCTGATCAAGAGGTTTTGAGGAGAGTCGATCCACTTCTTAATTGCTGGCATTCCCAGGTCGACCCTGAGCCGGAGTAATAGCACCTATTAGGGTGACAGCTATAGGCAAATAGTTGGCCCTCCTCCCAAACTGAGGTCAAAACACTATGAAAGGTTAAAAATAGGTTTTAATACCAGCAATACCTTTGTGAAAAAATATTACCAGCAATAAAAATCTTGTCGGCATTAAATAACCCATTGAGGTGTTGATATGCCATAAATAAAAAAACAAATAAAACCCAAACCAAAAGTTCTGAATGTAACAAGGATCCTACTACACTGTGACCAATATTGTAGTAGTATAACACTTTCAGGCGTCAATCAGTGCTGGCTATGCAGGTTTTATTGGCA